TCCTGGTGTCCCCTCTCAGTGACACGAGGCCCACCGAATGCCACCATGGTGAGCCCCACCCCCTCGTCCTCTAAATAGCCTACTTCTTGACCTGGTGCCTCCCCTTCCAAGTTGGCTGCAGTGCCCTGCGGTGCTTCACACACATTTTGGGAACTGCTTCTCTCTCTCTTTCTCTCTCTCTATGTCTGTCTGTCTGTCTGTCTGTCTCTCTCTCTCTCTCTCTCGGCTGCTCCCCATTTTAAAAATCATAAGCAAAAGAGACTGGAAGGAAACAGCATGACATAAACAGCATGTGTCTTTGGGCGCGTAGGCTGGTGGGTGGATTTTATTTTCCCCCTGTAAGTGTCCATATTTGCCACACTGAGCAAATATTCCCTTTACAATCAGGTGGGAAAGGTTGATTAAAAAGAAGAATTCAATAAGAAAAGGGACATAAAACCTAACACTACAAGCTTACAACCACAGGTGTCAACAGGAAGGCTCGTTAATGGGTGATGGTCCGGCCCCTGGACAGACCCCCGTGATGCCCATTTCTCAAAGGAGAACACTGAGGTGCAGAAGGTTCATTCCCTTCACTCAGAGGGCTCACGGTCAGGGAGGGGTGGTGGGGATTTGGAATCCAGGTCTGTCCCTACATCAAAGGGCAAAAGTTGGGGGTGTTCGGGGTGCCCGGGGCCTGGCTCACCGTGTTCTTCCTTCACAGCTGCCACCGCTGCCCCAACTCCCACCACTGGAGCCAGAGAGCCACCACTATCAGGTGTGGAGCTGGGAGGCAGGAGTGGGTGTTGGGGACCCCGTGAGGGTGGGGAGGGTTCATGGCAACCGGGCTTGGTGGGAGAGGGCTGTCGCTCTCTGGAAAGTGCATCACAGCCTTGCGGAGGGACCCTGGACAAGTCCTTTCCCCTCTGGGGATGGCAGTTTCCTCCTTCAGAAAAGGATTCCAAGGCAGTGAATTTGCACAGGAGGAAATGAAGCCCAGAGAGGGGAAGGGCCTTGCCTGGCCAGGGCTCGAGCAGGGACCCCAGCACGGGGGCCCATTCATGGGCCTGGGTCTCAGCCCATCTTCATCCCTTCCTGTCTGCCCCCAGATCTCTGCCTCCTCTCAGTGTCCCTTACTGTCCCGTCTCACATTTCCTGTGCGTGTCTCTCTACCCCTCTCAGGGTGTGTCTGTCTGTCTGTCTCTCTCTTGCTCTGTACTCTTTCCCATATCTTTGTTTCTGTCTCTCTCTCATTGTCCCTCTTCTTCTCTGTCCCTCCTGTCTTTTGATCTCTGTCGCCCCGTGTCTACCCCTTTTCCTGGCTCTTGGGTACCTCCACATCTCTCTGTATCTCTCTCTGTCTTTCCATCTCAGTCCTGCATTCCCCATGTGGGTGTTTCTCCCCATGTTTCTCGGTCTCCACCTGGCTCCTCTCTGTCTCCCCCCAGCTCTTCACCCCAACAACACCCCCTCCCTCTGTCTCCTCTCCCCTCCCCCCAGGACCTGCTGAACCCCGACCCTGCCCCGTACTGCCAGCTGGTGCCAACTCCTGAAGGGGTCCCAGGCTAGGCCAGTGGCTGTCCCTCACCCCTCCTCGGGAGCCTTGGGCCCGCAGAAAAGCCACATCAGAGACCCAGAAGGACCGGGCCATCAGGGCTGTGAGGCTGGTGAGGTGGACTCAGCCGAAGACTCAGCACAGCATCAAACAGGTGTCCTGGGCAGGGGGCAGGGGAGTGAAGGGCCCAGCATCCCGCTCACCCTCTGCGTGTACAACCTGGCCTCAACTCTGGCCCTCCAGCAACCTGGCCTGGGGAAAGTAGGTTCTTGCCTCCCTCACCCCAAAGTCCCCCATCTGGATATTTGGGGGTGAAGAGGGTCATCTCAGGCCGACCTCCAGCCAGACCTCACAAGAGGGCTCCCTACTATCAGCCCACAACACCCCACCCCAGCTCTGCTGGTTGCCTTTGGAGCCCCTTCCCCTGGGCACAAGGCAGCACCCCCACCACCACACAAGCCCCAGAGGACAAGGCACGTGGCAGCCAGGCCTGGTCTCATGGGCCTGTGTCCCCAGATGACAGTCCTGGCCAGTTGCTGCGGCCCCCAGACCCCTTCCCTGCTCAGGCAGATCCAGCCCCACTCAAAATTCGGTCTCTCAAAACCTGTGGCCACCTTCTGGCCACTTCCCCTGACACCAAGTCCCTCGGGACAGCTGCTCCCTGCTCTACCCTCAACCCAATCCTGTCCTAAATGCGGGCCGGCTCTCTCACCCTCTAATCTATTCATTCACTCCACAATGAATAAGCTGTGGGCCGTGCCCCATTCTAGACCCTGCTGCCCCAGCAAGGATCAAAATAAGCAAACCTTCCTGGTCTCCTAGAAGGACACTCTGGCAACAGAGAGAGAGCCAGAAAATATAAATAAATAACATACATGCTGTGTTGGGTGCTGACAAGTGCACTGGGGAAATAAAGACAGAAGGGGGTTGGGAGAGTTAAGGGACTGAGGTTTTAAATAAAGAGCCAGAGAAGGCCTCCTCGCCCAGAAGGTAACAGTGAACAAAGACCTGAAGGAAGAGAAGCAGGGAGCCAGAGGGATCTGGAGGGAGAGCATTCCAGGCAGGAGGAACAGCAAGTACAAAGGCCCTGAGGTAGGAGTCAGCCTGGGATGGGCACAGAGTAAGGAAGGGGGAGAGGGCGGGAGGTGAGGTCAGGGAGATGGGGAGGTACAGAGCATGCAGGGCATGTAAGGCATTGCAAAGACTGTGGCTTTTGCTCTGGAAGCTAAGAAAAAATTAAGAACTGGATAATGGCCCCTCCAAGTTGTCTACCTTATATAGCAAAATTCTCTGTGAATGGTACAGAGGATTTTATATAGCAAAAAGAGTTTTGCAGGTGTGATTAAGTTAAGGATCCTGAGATGGGGAGATTATGCTGGATTACCTTGGAGGGCACTGAATGTCATAAGAAGGGTCTTTCTAAGAGGCACACAGAGGAGCAAGTGTCAGAGGAGGAGCTGTGATGAGGAAGGAAGCAGAGATTGGAGTGACACACTTGGAAGATGGAGGAAGGGGCTGAAAACCAAGGCAGCCCAGAGTCAGAGTGACCCGATGGGAGAAAAATTCCAGTGGTCCTTGCTGGCTTTGAAGATTGAAAGGGGCCATGAGCAGAAGCCTTTAGAAGTCAGAAAAGGCAAGGAAACAGATCCTCTCCTAGAAGCTCCAGAAAGCAACTCTGCACTGCTGACACCTTGATTTGGGCCCAGGGAGACCCACTTTGGACTTGTGACCTCCAGAGCTATGAGATAATAAATTTGTGTCATTTGAAGCCACAATATTGGTGGCAGTTTGTTTCAGCAGCCACAGGAAATTAATGTAGAGGAGGAAGAAGAATTCACAGGAAGGGAAGTTGCCTCTCCCGCTGACTCAATATGCAAATACTCCCTGTGAGGAACTTCTCCAGCCTCAGACCTCTCAGGACACCCAATGCCTGGGCCCCTGACCACCTGCTTGCTGAGGTTAACCAGGTCAACACACGGGTAGAACTCAGCCAGGCACTGGCTGCTAGGGTGTAGGGTGTGAGGGACTCAATTTATCCCAACCCCAGATGAGGAGAACCCAGATGCCTGCCTTCCTCTCCTCAATACCAGCAACTGCTTATCAAATGCCAATATCTGTGATCTCCTTTTCCCCAGAAATAGGGTTTTTAACCAAGTATATGGCTGTCAAGCATAAAAACTACATTCCCCAGCTTCCCTTGCTGCTAGGTGTGGCCATGTGACTAATTCCAGAATAATGGGATATGAGCAGAAGTGATATACACACTCCTCGGGTCATTTTCTTAAAGGGAAAGGATACCCTTTCTTCTTGGTTCACTTTCCCTTAGGCTCAAGAAAAGATGTGATGGGAACTATCTGGGGTCACATGGACAAGGACAGCCCAAAGCCAAGTTAGAGGGAGCCTGAAGGACAGTGATATGGATGGAGCCACCATGCCAGGTTAGATAGTTACCCTCTTGTTTAAGCCACCATTATTTAGGGATTCTGTTACATCCAGCTCCTTCTAAATCCTAATACACCCAAGATGGCAATGTTTTCCAGAGTAAGTTCTCTGAGCCTGACTGTACGCCTTCTAGCTCACTTGGAACTAGCTTTGTTATACAATGACTTGTGTCCCCCAAAACTCATGTTGAAGCCCTAACCTCCAATGTGACTTTATGCCAGTGTTGCAGTCAGGATGACCTGGATTATGCGGCAGTAACAAGCAACCCTACAACCTCCATGGCTCAGAACATTCAAAGGCTCATTTTTTTTGCTCATGCTACGTGTTCCTCTCAGGCAGGCAGGTGTGGCGAGGGTCAGGAGAGCTCTGCTCCACATCTCCCCATTCAGGAACCAGGATGACAGGGCCAGTCACTGTACAGGGAAAGGGAGGGCACCTAGCAAGACACGCACTGGCTTTTAAGGGCTTCCACCAGGAAGTGACACTCCCACTCTAAGTTCATTGGCCAAAGCAAGTCACACGGCACAATCCAATGTCAAGAGCACTGGGCAGGTGCAGTCCTACCACGTGCCCAGAATAGGGAGAACCAAAATATGTACAGTCAGTCAATGCACCTTCAGGATTCACACCTGAGCCCACATTCTCAACCACATAGTTTCCTGAGAGAAATTCCCAGGCAGGCCTGCCCTCCCCTATCTATTCAATCAATGACTCATTCATTCATTCAGCAAGTGCTGGACCACAGTGGTGGGGGTGACTGGGGAAATTTTTGTTTATTCATCAATTCAACAAACATTTATTGATCAACTGTTGTGTGCAGCTGTTTGAGGCTCTGAGGAGGTAGCCATGAACAAAACACACAGAGATTCCTGACCTTGGAGAGCTGACAACAAACAGCATCGAATGTCCAGGGGGGGTGATGCTCTGAGGGAGAACAGAACAGGTGCTGAGGAAGCTGGGGTACCAGAGTGGGGGAACACCCAGGTGCCTGCTTTGCCTACGAGGTTTAAGGAGTAGTGGTGACGTTCACACTGCAAGAAGGCCAGGTTTGCAAGAAATGACAACATACGTTCACACAAAAGCTTGTACCCAGGAGT